TTGTGGATTTCAATGGCTTCCCTGTGCAGTCTGATGTAATGATTGCTGGTGTTGTCCAGTATTTCAGTATTTTGAAATAGAATTTCATGTCCAGTTTCTTTTAGGGCATGTTCAGCTACTGCAGATTTTTCTGGTTGTTTTAGTCTGCAGTATCTCATGTTCTTTAATTCTGGTGTGGATGCTTCGTTTTGTGGTTCTAATCTATACCTGGCCACAACTGCAAGGTATCCGGTATACTCCTGCAGTGGTGAGGGGTCCCTTCTGTTCTTTGCTGACCGTAACATTTATTGTATTTTTGTGGTGGGCTTGAATACTGTTTGTAGCTTGTGTTTTTTCAAAAGTTTCCCCACGCTGTCCGTGACCCCTTTGATGTATAGCAGAAATACTTTATTTGTGGGTGGCTGTTTTTCTTCTTCAGTTCGGTGTTGTTTTCTTGGTTTGATGCTCTTGTGATTTCATTTTTGGAGTAGCCATTTGCCTGTAGGGCCCAATTCAGATGGCTGAGTTCAGTACTGAGAAACTGAGCTTCACAGTTCCGATTTGCACAGTCTACCAGTGTTTTGATTATGTCTCTTTTTTGCTGTGGGTGGTGGTTGGAGTTTTTGTGTAGGTACCGGACTGTGTGGGTGGGTTTTCTGTAGACCTTGTGTCCCAGTCAGAGGTCAGTTTTGCGTAGGCCCATGACATCTAAGAACAGGAGTTGGCCCTCTATTTCTTTTTCCATGGTGAATTACATATTTGGATGGATGCTGTTGAGATGGTTGAGAAATTCTTCCAATTTTTATTCACCATGGCTTCAAATTGCAAAGATGTCATCCAGATCAGAACATGGCCAAAGAGCCCGAAAAACCCACAACAACCATTAGATCCTGGCTGTGAAAGCCTTCACGAATACATATAATGATAAAATCACAATATATCATGAAAAACAGAATGAATCAAGGCTTTTTCGAGTTGGTTTTCTTCAACAAAAGAAAATATAATCATGACAACTGCAAGATTTACTCGAAACCTAGACAGACTGCATTTTAATGGTACAGAATACAAAGTATCATCAATATGCTATATCTGACATTACCTTGCTAAAGACTATGGACATGAAGAACAAGTCTAGAAGCATCGTCTCCGAGAAACGTTCATAGTCAAATGTAAAGAAAAGAACTGTGAAAATGACAGTAACATACTGGTATGTAGGATTGCTGAAAGAGGAGCGTAACAGCTTCATGCCAGCTATAGTAATCATTAAAGCACCAAGTCTGCAATGAGAAAATGTATTTGCCAAGGATTAAAAACATATCTTGGTAGAACATGATGGATCTAGCTAATACTCATATCTTTGGTAGATATTGGTATAATTTATACAGGACGAATGGTAAAATGTGGATATAGTTATTATATTTTCACCTTCTATTAATTCTCCCAACTACAACACTAGAAATGTGCAGCAAAAGATTTAGCCAGCTAATCCACCTATGTATGTGAAATCTAGTTTCCATTTCCAACTTTTATTAGCCTCTTCTTTCTTTCTTCAGTTTTTGTTTTTGCAGACTTCCGTATTCCTCACTAAATCTTCCTCTTGCTGCTTTTCTAAGACAATGGGCAAGATCCTGTTATGCCCAACAACGAGGAATTACAATATTCAATTGTTATAGGTAAAAAAAAATAAAAATAAAGAGTAAAAAAAGACAAAAAGATAATGGCACTTTAAAGACTAACTTTTATATTTTTTAATGTGAGCTTTCGTGGACTACTCCATTTCATCAGAGAAAGAGACACAACATCACAAATATTTATACCTGGCATCAAGACTGTAGTTAGTTGGTGAGAAAGTCAGTGAGTGTTAAACATTGTGATGATCGTGCCTTTGATATGCAGGTCTTTAGTAGAAGCTGTAAAGAATGTGAGAACCTCTCTCACAGATTTACAATGGTAAAATAACAGTGGAACAATAATGATGGTAGAATAATAATAATACTAATCAGATGGGCTATTTATAGTCATTGATGAACTTTTCCCTACAAGCTTTTCTTTGTAATCAGTTGTAAAGTCTGTGAATTACCCCAGACAATAGATGACCAGGAGACCAGAGTAGCATCTGTTTACCTTAGATATTTCTAAGGCAGATCTGTTAAGGGGGGGAAGGTATCTCAGAGATGTAGTACAATTCAATATTTGTAGTTTGTAGTGGTTATATATGGTAGTGCCCGAAAAAGCCTTGGGATGACAACACACAGAAACCCATTTCACATCATTTTAATTTACCAGGACACTCCACAAACCATTTGAAAGTGGCCACTCAAGAAAAAACAACTACAAGACATGAATCCAGAGAGAAACAGCTGAGATAAAATATATATGCATGCTAGACACACATATCAAAGGACTTGATATAAGCCAAGTCTTTTGGGGGCACTACCATATATAATCCCTACAAACAGCATCTCCCCTTAACATCTGATTAACATCATTGTTACTCTACATTATCATACCACTGTTATTTTACCTTTGTTAATCTATAAGAGAGGTTTTCACATTCTTTACAGCTTCTACTGAAGTCCTGCATATTAAAGACACTACCATCCTAATGTTATCACCCACTAACTTTCTCACCAACCAACCACAACCTTGATGCCATGTTGTATCACCTACTCTTATGTCTGATGAAGTGGACTTGCCCATGAAAGGTCACATTAAAAAAATAAACTTAAAAAAAGTCTTTAAAGTGCCCCTATGTTGTTTTACTATTTATATTTATTTTGTTTTCACCTATAATGCTTTCACAGACTAACATGGCTACCGCTTATACAACTATTACTATTCAATTGTGCAATCAATCATGCACCCCTAGGACAACCAATCATACAATGTGTTGGTGGAAGAGCTTCATTAGCATGTCTGCCTTGGCACTATTTTAACTACTGTGGGGGAAGCCTCTGCATGCACATCTGCATGTGTAGATGTGCAATAGATTTTTTTCCCAATGTGCCTCTTGGTTTCCTTCTTTTGCTGTTTGTGGAACCTTGCTACTAACACGGGCCTCAGAGAGACCATATTGTGGAGCATATTGAAAAATGGGAAGATCTAGGAGACAGAGAAATTAAAGGCCAAGGATAGCAGGAACAAGATAAAGTGGTGCCCTGCATGACGACAATCCGTCATATTGAAATAGCTGTTTAGCGAAATTGTCGTCATGCGAAATCCGTTTCACCACTGGAATGCATTGAGACCCGTTTAATGCATTCCAATGGGGAAAATACCTCGTCGTCCAGCAAAGATCGCCCATAGGAAAGCCATTTTACGAGCGCCGATCACTGTAAAAATGCCTGTCCTGCAAAGCATGGGTCCGGAAAACACAGGGCAGCCATTTTGCGAAGCCGACAATCAGCTTTAAAAATTGTTGTCTTGTGAACAAATGGTTCGTGAAGCACGGACCTAATCAACATCCAGCTAAAATCCCCCATTGGAATGACTGTTTTGCAAATCACTATAGTGATCGCAAAAAGTCATTGTTATGCGGATTTGTCATTTGGCGGTGTCGTCGTCTTGCGAGGTACAAATGTAGTTAAAAGAAGGGGGCTAGGAACTGAGAACATTAAGACGGAGTACTTGAGATAGAACATGTAATGCAGTAAAGGAAAGAAAGAGGTAAAAGTAGAAAGTACTTTGAAGGGACCACTCTCTTTGAGGAAGAGATATGTACAGATAGAAAGGAAGAGGCCAGAGTGTTAGAAGACCAGCCATGCAACAAAAAAAACTTTTCAATATGCTTATTTTGAAAAATAATGTAACAAGAGTGCCGAAAGAGACTCTTTTCTACTTACTCTGTATCAAGTCTTTTTGGACTTGCAATAGCCTTTGCACTGCTGCTGAGCTCATTGAGAACTATCAAAGGGTAGATAACGTTCTTCTCCACAAAAAGTAGCCATATATGGAGTTTCTCAAACCACATTACATGTGCAGCATCTAAGAAGAGTTCACACAGTGAAATACAGAAATAGTTCAAAAAGTCAGAAAAACTGGCAGCAAAACAAAAACACCCAAGCTTAACTGTCTCTGCTTTCCCATCTCTCCATCAGAGCAGTCATTTAGATGAGATATCCAAACTACTTTCCATTGATACAATTTCAGGACGTTTCATGCAGGAATAAAGCTTTTTATGGCAGTAAATTAGCAGAGGAAGTTTAAATGTACATACGATTATAAAACTCAAAATCATCATGAAAACAATGGCTGAAATACTACTCTGCAGCACTGCATAGTCATGGTGATGATACAGCAAAAGCAACAGCAAATCATCCCATTCAAGGCAAATCACCACTGATTCCATGGTATGTGCAACTCATGCATGTAAATGAAGCTGCATGCACCCTCAGATTCTCAAAGGATGTCTGTAATCAGTGATGATTTGCTAGGATTTTAGCCGATACCTACTTAGAGGTACAGTGGTGCCTCGCACAACGGGTGCCTCACACAACGATAAATTCACACAACGATGCCTTTTTCTGTTAAATTTGCCGCCTCACACAACCATGTTTCCTATGGGGAATTTTCACACAACGATGCCTCTTTTTCACTCCTGTAAAAGTGTCTTACAATGTTTGGAACCTGTTTTAAAAGCTTGCAATGGTTAGCCCACCTCCTGAACCCTATGCAAACTGATTTTGGTGTTGTTCTGACACTTCGTTAATTTGTGGTGATTTTTTGTTTTTCCCCTCATTGAACTCCATGCATTTCAATGAGGGGAGAAACAAAAAATCACCACAAATTAACGAGGTGTCAGAACAACACCAAAATAAGTTTGCCTAGGTTTCAGGAGGTGGGCTAACCATTGCAACCTTTTAAAACAGATTCCAAACATTGTAAGACACTTTTACAGGAGCGAAAAAGGACTTCGCAAAGCCATTGAAATGCATTGAGTCGGCTTCAATGCATTTCAACTGGGGAACCGGGTTTCACTCAACGATGTTTCCTATGGGGATTTTCGCTCAAGGACGGCAATCCGTCCAATTGGAACGGATTAACCGGTTTTCAATGCATTCCTATGGGAAATGGTGTTTCACAGAACGATGTTTCACACAACGTTGATTTTTTGGAACCAATTAACATCGTTGTGCGAGGCATCACTGTATTTCTCTGCAAAGTGCCATAGACCAAACTTACAAAATATAATTGTACTACTTACTGCGGACTTCAAACTGATAGTATTCCTTGGTTTTCAACAGTGGATGAGAAAAACAATGCCAGGGGAGCTGTTTCCGGAGTTGAGGCAGCACATAATGGGTTATAAAGCCTACTGATCCCACCAATGCATATAAGACATAGCTTAAGACAGGCTAGCAAAAAAAAAAAATCAAGAAAAGAGATTCAAAATCAGCATTCCTTTCAGAATTTTTTATTTAATTTCTGCTTTTTTATTTCATGTGCAGCATGGTAATCTTTGCCACGTGCTCCCTACCACCACCTCAAAATGCACTGCAGGGTATATCAGAAGCATTTAATGTAGCTCCAAATGTGATCTCCTTTGGTGTCCTGGCTAGGGATCCCTTTTGAATTTTGCTATTTGGGGTGGTGGGGAAATCAGCAGCTTATTAAAAGAAAGCAATAAAAGTTTCCCTATTGCTCCTTCCTCTATCAGACAGACATTACAAAGAGTATTTCCCCAAAGGTTCCAGACATTATATATAATACTGCCCTACTATCTTTCCCTGGCGGCTGATGTACTCACTAACCTCCTCCATAACTGCTTTTGTACCAGAGTACCAAAGAAACCTAAATTCTAAATTTCCTCATGTAAGCAAATATATCAATCTGCACTGAAACATACTGTATGCTCTGCCTAGTACAGCATAATTTACAAGAAATTCCTGGTGACGCTAGAGGTAGGAGAAATAAAGTTTTTTTCCTTTATCTTCTGTCTGGCTGATACTTCTTTCTTAATTTCTAAGTTCCTGGAGGCATTAAGTGGGATTATTTTAGTGAATGCTGTAGAACTGAAATTGGGAAAGAAAATATTATCCTATCCAGTTCAACAATTGTAAATTGTAGTGAGATTGCTGTTAACACAGATATTAAAACAATACTGTTCAAGAACCACACAGGAGAAAAATTAGTATGTGTATTTTTTAAAATGAAAGAAAACACAAATATTACCTGCAAAACTGTGAACACTGTGCTAACATGAATTGCAAAGTAGAGTACACCAATGACGATGCACACGACAAGATCAGACTGCAAACGCTCACTCTGGGAAGAGAAAATAAAAATATCAAAGGCATACCTGGTTAACAAAACAAGTTATGTGTTAAGTAGTTATGTAGTCGTTGCCCAAAGCTAAAACTGTAGGAAATTATTTCCTATGAAATAATATATGACAAACTAAGTGCAGAGACTGAATGATTACGGAATTGTTTTTCTCTCATTCTAGCTTTGATTTACATGGTAAAATGTAAATGAATTCTAGTTTTGATTTACATTTATATGGTCATAGAGAATGACTGAGTTTAAGTACATGATGGCCTATGGGAAATTTTAATAGTTATTAAAATTGATTATCACAAAACGTTTATAATCCTAAAAACCAACGAAAGCATCTGGAGTACAGAGAGCTTTCTTGCCTTGAACATTTCAGTGTTAAAAAAAACACCAGTCATTTAGATCCACAATTCTACCACTGGGAAGAGGAAACTGGTCACCACCTTGATTAATTCAAGTAACAAGACAACTTACGACTGAATTTCTAAGTTTTTCAGGTAGTGGGTCTTTAACTTCAGACAATGGATCCTCTGGATTTTTATCTTCTGAAGTAGGAAAAAGCTTTGATTGCACTAAAGAACTAAAACACAAAGAAATACAAAGAACTAAAATACAAATATAATTTTTAAAAGGTCGTCTAGTGTTTGGAATTTTAAAAGCTGATACATTTTATAAATCTGAAATAAATTATTTGCTTTGTTGTTCCCTTCATGAAATATACAGAAAAATAAATATTATGTCACACAGACTACCCTAGAGTACCCATGGCTTCATTGCACCAACAATGGCAAGTAACATCCTAACCCGGCAGAGAATATCCCATTGTCGTAGTGATACAGGTTCTTTTGGTATCCCTACCACAGAAGTGCTACAATTAAAGAAACACATCATTTGGCCAGTTACAATCACAAAGGAATAAATACTCATACAGTGGTGCCTCGCTCGACGACGATATGTTCCGTTCAAATCGCTGTTAAGCGAAATCGTCATCAAGCGAATTTTAAAAACCCATTGAAATGCATTGAAAACCCTTCGATGCGTTCCAATGGGCAAAATACCTGCTCGTTTTGCGAAGATCCTCCTTAGGGCGGCCATTTTCCGGTGCCTGTAAAGCGAGGAATCCATGCTAAAAACAGCGGGGAGCCATTTTGCACAGCAGGCGGCCATTTTTAGAGCAGCTGATCTGCTGTTTTAGAATCGTCATCTAGCGAAAAATCAGTTCCCGAAGCAGGGAACCGATCATCGTCAAGCAAATTTCCCCATAGGAACATCGTTTTGCGATCGCAAAAACTTCATCGTAAAACAGATTCGTTGTTTAACGAGGTAATCGTTAAGCGAGGCACCACTGTATCTGTGGTCAAGAAAGTTTTACAACTCAAATATTGGACAATGTGGATATATAATTCTGAAAATCAGGTAATTAAATGTTACAGATTGTGATGGCATGCCTATGAGAGTAGACAATGTCACCTGATAAATGATCATCAACATCCATTCATATAGGGTCTCACTGAAATTAAGTGCACTGCACTACACTACAAACAGATGTAATAGCCTATACTCAAACATTCAGTAGTCACATAGGTCAATATCCTGTCCATTTTGCTGTGCAAAGAATGGTTGTAATGCAAACACTTTTCTCCATTTTCCAGATTACCTATCACATGATCAGTGACACAGGCAGTGTATAGCCTGGTATGCAAGAGAAACCTTGGAAAATTGGAGGGGGGGACCACCATTACATATGTAGTAAACTGAGCAAAATATTTACCATAATACAATAAATTCTTTAAAATGACTCAGATTTCTATTAACACAACTCTATAATGTAATTAATAATTTAATTAGTGAAAGGAAAGGGGAAAGCCTATAAACAACAATCTATACAATTTTGGAAAGGAAGTTTCTAATTAAAATATTGTTCAATGGGGTTCCGTGGGTATGGGGTGCACGCTAGAATTTAGCGTATAGCAAGCACTATTATTTGTATTTTTTAAAATATTTTTGTTGTTGTATTTGTTTATGAAAATAAAAATTAAAAAAATAATTTAATTAAAACATTTACATAATTAGCAGATGCTGGCTACAGAGACTTATTCAGGTCCTTCCCTATGTATGTCATTTAAAAACAGATTTCTTATTCCTTACAATAATAATGGGGCTCAATTGCTCTCAGACAAACCATGTGATCTGCATTCCCTATTCTACTTAGACAAATGAATGACACTATTTATAGCTCTAATTTCAAAACAGCACCGGGGTCCCTAGGACAAAGAACTATCCCTTCCATTATATCAGTTTGTGCAATATGGTATGGCCAAAGAAAATATGGCTGCAGTTCAAATGTATGAAACTGCTTCAGGAACCCTTTCCACACTATGAAGAAGCTGGGACTGCATCTTTCCAAGAAAACACCTCAAGCCAGTAAAGAAAACAAAGCTTAATCTATTCAGATACTGTATAAAACCCATTGAGCTCAGTAGGACATATTTGTACTCAGGACTAAAACTCCAGACATTGAAAAATATATATGTACACAACTTTACAATTATCATTACAGTACACTTCTATGTAACATAAGAATAAGTAATCACTACTCACAAAAGCACAGAAGGATCACTACTTTGTCTGCTGAGATGATAAGACACCGCCACTAACATACCACAGAATACTGAAAAGAGCACTGGAATATGTTGACCATCCCAAGAGTCCTGTGAACACACAAACAAAAACGCAGAGAGGGAGAGAGGGAGCATCAGCCAAAATGATCACACAAGATTTTTTTAAAAAATCTTAACATTACAGAGGATGTGTGGGCGCTTTGGGGGGGCAGGCAAGGCGAGGGCCACAAACTATCATCAGGGGGCCACAAATGGCCCCTGGGCCAAATGTTTGAGACCCCTGGTCTAGAGCAACTTGTTTCAACTATTAGCGAATTAGGGATAGGATGTTTAAATAGAAAACTGGTGTCACCACCATGGACATGATATAAATTCTCTGTGCGTCTAGATAAGGGGGTTGACGCAGATGGTTGGTTCCACTCATCTTTGATGATATCCATTAAATCCAGTATAAAAGTTAGGCTAAGAGGTGGGGACCTTTCTTGGTTTATGTCCCCAAATATGAGATCTTCTGTAGCTGGAGCAGGCTGTTCCATATCCATTTTGAGTGTTTTAGCTAACCTTGAAAGCATCTGAGCATATGATGAGGAGAGGAGGCATGGTTGTCCACTGTATCAGACTCGACTACCTCTCCCTCTGGCAATTCGTTTTCGCATGCTTCTTGGGGAACATCATCCTCAGGAGCAGAGGAGTCAGCCGAAAACATATCTTCATGGTCCGAGGTCGAAGTTTGATGGGACCTCTTGCGGGAATATTTGTTGACATCATTAGAGGAAGAGGCAGTCTGCTAGGATGATCGCACAATCGTCAACGTCGAGAATGAAGGCGCTGACTATGCAGGGCATTTTCTTGCATCTTTAGTAATGTCCTTTCCCTTGTCGACACCGAGTCTCTTCTGACGTCAATGTCTTCGGGGCGATGTCGACGGGGAAGAAGAAGAGGAGGCATAAATGTATTTAACCCTCTTTTTTCTATATCGATCACTCGATTTTGAAGAGGTGTCCGAGTAAGAGTAATCCCTTCGACGTCGACGCCAATGTTTCATGCGTCTAGGCTCATAGTGGTTGGAGTCCTCTGATCTATCTCTATGTCGATGTCGAGATGATCGCGGAAGCACCACCACATCACGCCGAGGAGATAGACGCCGATCAGGAGAAGCATGTTTAGTTTTCGCAGTGCGCTTTCGAGGCGGAGAACTCGGTCTCGAAGCGGCAGATGATTCAGATGGAGCCAAAGACGCCCACCCGGTTGACACAGGGCTATGAGGGGCAGAAGCCAAGCCTGCAGAAGCATCGGCAAGCTGGCTCAGCGTCAGAGAGGAGACGCCTTCAGGTCGTAATGGCTCGGCCTGTCTGGGAGGAAGCGAAGTTGCTGCCTCAGACAAGGACTCTCAGTCTCGGGAAGAGTCTTCAAGAATTGGAGAAGGAAGCGAAGCAGAGACCGGTGGTAGTTGTTTGTGGTGGTCCTTAGGTTTAACTAGTCTTTGTTTTGGCTTGTTTAATAGGCTTGGAAGAAGAAGCAGTGGGCTTCGACATTGATGAGGAAGATTTCTTTGTAGGAGCGGCTTTTTAACAGGCTTATTCGAAGCCTTGCTGGCGACAGACTGAGGTGAGATGTTTTGAGTTTCTGATTGAGGGGTTGCCGTTGGTGATGAAATTTCCATTTCCGACGGTTTTGTGGAAGAGTTATATCCCAAAGGTGATACTTAAGTCTCTGCTGTCTAGCCTTTAGAGCTGCTTTCGTGAAGCCTTTACGAAGCTTACAGGATTGAATTAAGTGGGCTTCTCCTAAGCAAAAAAGACAGCGATCATGTCCATCCGAAAAATGAAGTTTTCTGGAACAAACAACGCACCGGCTGAAGGGTCCGGAACGGGACATAAGCTGGTTATACAAAGAATAGTCTTACTTTAAACGTCGCACGGTCAGGGGGAAAAGGAGGGAAAGTCAGAGGCAACCAAATTCGTAGGAAAATACGATCAGAAAATCCAGGCAAATAGTCCAAGGCCGGGGCAATAGATAATAGAATAGTCAGATGAATTTCCAAGTCAGATAGCCGTAAAAAATCAATCCAAAAAAATAGGTAACAGTGTAAGCTCAACGGAGAGGTTCCAAATCGCTCGGCAGAAAAATGGAACTAAGGCTTTGGCGGATGGAGCATGCGCATTGTGGGCAATCTAAGACTTTGTTATTTTTCTATTCAAAGCTCGAGAATATTCCAAGAGGTCCAGCGCAGGTGCTGATTTAAGCCTTTTGTTTGCATTCACAGAGGCCACAATGAAGAAAGGCCCTTTGTCTACAAGCCATCCCTCTTACCTCCTTGAGGAACGGCTCTTTCAAAAAGGCCCCCTGTCTAGATCTTAACTGCCAGGTAGGCTCATATGGAAGGAGGCGGTCCTTCAGGTATCCAGGGCCCAAACCGTTTAGGACTTTATAGGTCAAAACAAGCACTTTGAATTGGGCCCAGGCAGCAACTGGTAACCAATGTAATTTAATCAGAATCAGCTTGATGTGTTTCCTAGTGGCCCCACCACTCACCAGCTGCGCAGCTTGATTCTGGACCAGTTGCAGTCGCCGGACTGTCTTCAAAGGCAGCCCCACGTAGAGCACATTGCAATAATCTATATGAGATGTTACCAGTGCGTGTGTAACTGTCATGAGACTCCGCTTGTCCAGGTAGGGCCGTAGCTGGTACAATTTCCAGTCCGCCTGGGCTTCCAGAGTTAGACTGAGGTCCAGGCGCACACCCAGGCTGCGGACCCTGTCTCTTAGGGGGAGTGTAACCCCATTCAGGGCAGGGAAATGGCCCTCCAACCTGTCCGGCGAAGCACCCACTAACAGCACTTCCATCTTGTCTGGATTGAGTTTCAATTTATTAACCCTCATCCAGTCTATTATCAGGTCGAGACACGGGTTCAGCACAAAAACCGTCTCACCTGGATTGGTGGAAAACGAGAAGAAGAGCTGAGTGTCATCAGCATATTGCTGACTCCTCATCCCAAACCTCCTGATGACCTCTCCCAGCGGTTTCATGTAGATGTTAAACAGCATGGGGGCCAGTACTGAGCCCTGAGGAACCCCATAACATCAATGCCATGGGACAGATCAACTGTCCCACAGAACCACCCTCTGGACATGGTCAGCCAGGAAGGAGAGGAACCACCGTAAAACAATGCCCCCAACTTCCAACCCAGCCAGCCTATCCAGAAGGACACCATGGTCGATGGTGTTGAAAGCCACTGAGAGGTCCAGGAGTATCAACAGGGTCACACTCCCCCTGTCTCTCTCCCGGCAAAGGTCGGTTGTTTTTATTGTTTAGCTCTTTTATTTTCCATAATGGAATCACAAAAAATTAAAACACAACATTTTATTCACAGTTCTTAGTAATATATTTAAAACTACATATGATAGTCCTGCCTCTTAAATTTATGTTCCAGCACATAATAAACAAATTTCATTTACGGGCTTTTCTTCTTTTAAAGAAGCTCCTGTATTTTATCCCATTCTTGTTCTAAAAAACAATCAAAGGAACTAAACTAAAGAAGATCTCTCTTAAAATTTTCTATAACTTATATCTAATTGTACAGCTGTTAGTAAAGTATTTTTGAAATATGTTAAACACCCCTTTTTACTCATCATCTAAGGGATTTAAAATCACCTATGGAATTAACTGTATACTTCCTGGTGCTCTAAATTACCTACATGCATATTAAAAGTGCTATGCTGGGCCATAGTGAAGGTCTACCTAATGCAGGGTTAGGATCACCCTGGCCCTATAGATTTTGAGGGGGGGGAATACAGCTCCTATAATTCTTAGCCACCAGCACTGCAGGCTGGTGCTTATGGTCCAAAGCTTTCCTGCCTCAATCTAGTTCTACATCCTTCTTCTACAGCAGCCAAATACATTCCATTAGGAAGCCTGTAAGGCAGTTAATGAAGGCAGCAAACCATCTCTCCCTAGCAATTTACAGTACATTCAGTAACAGGCTTCCCTACAATCCAGAGGATTCACAAAGCCACAGTGACTACTAGCTATTGACTGACTTTATCCATCACTTTATCTAATATCCCCATGGTCTTGTGACAGTACATATTTTAAACTTATCCTTTTGTGTGAAAATACATTTCTATTTTTATCTATGCCAGTTAATTTCACTGGAACACCTGAATTCAAGTATAATGTGAATGGAAGAAAATGTCTCTATCCACCTTCTCCACCTATAATCACTACAAAATCAAGGAGCAGCAACATTTATCCATTTTACAAAGCAGTAAGAAATAAAAGCACCAAGGCTAAATTCACTTTGCAAAATACAGCACCAATGGAAAATACAGTACTCACCTTCAGGGCACCATAACACAATCCATATAATAATGCTACTGCCACAATGCTGCAAATAAAACTGTAAAGTGCTGCAAGCAGGCTTGTGGTGGCTGGAGAAGAAGAAAACAATGACTTGTCATAAAAAATTGACAATAAAGAATTGTTTAGGGTGTAAGAATTAAACATATATTTCTTTGATTTTTGTTTCATGCACTCTCTCAAGAACATATGCAGCAACATTACAAGATATATCTGTTTCAGATATATCTTGCCTCTCCAAATCGCTCCCTCCATCAAAAGTATATCGTTTGAGGATAATGTGATAATTTTCTTACTGAAATTAGGGGAACCATTTTCAATTTGTCACATCTTCTGGAAATAATCTGTGCTGAGATCTGATTAGTCCTTAACTACTATGAAGTATGGAAAGACCACTCATCAATTTCCCTGCCCTACCCAGCGAGCAAACGTCTAGATGACACAATAAGATCCTAAAACACACAGGGCAGGCATGATGCCACACTATGCTTTAATGTTATAAGGACAAACCTGAGATGAGCCATGTGTTAATGAATTTTGTCCCACTACCTCTTACACTATCCAGTTGCCTGTCCTCCTTCCTAGTTTCCCCCACACTGCAGTCTGACTTTATGGCTCAAAAGACAGAATATGTTTTGTGCTTGCCTTATTAAATTGATGGCAAACCAAAGAGACAGATGATAGATCATAGTGCATAAGGAGAGGATAGAGTATTTGCCCAATCATATAGACATGGCACAAAAATATGATCTGAACTGGGATACAGTTTTCTGTACACAAAAGTTGAAACTATCTGAATGTTATGAATAAGAGTTTGCAGGATTATCTGCAAAGGTTAAGATGCACTCAGTATCAATAGCTTGAATAAGACCTTGAACCACATTTTCCAAAGTAATCTGAAAGCTGATTACTGATGACCACCCATGAATAAGAAAACCCCACTTACCATTTCCACCAAAGACATGAATATCCAGCTGTTCACAGAGGTACATTACAAATGTATTCACCTGAGGCAGAAGACCAATGAAGAACACTATAGGGAAGCACAGTGTAAACACTAGAGAAAACAAAAGTAATGGAAAAAGTAGTAAGTTCACAGAGAAGGCGGAGTTACTGTTCTATTTAAGAGAAGAACACCTGTTACTTGATTCACCGAAGAAAAAAATGGCCAAAAACCTCTTGAACAACCATGCAAATAGCATATTTCTAGAGGGAAAACACCTTACGAAATCACTGTAAACATTATCATTTACACATTGAGTCACACAAATCAATATTCAACAGTTAATATCTACAGTGATTTCTTAACTTAAGGCAACTGGACTCCAAAGGCTACAGCATCTGTGTTAATGCCAACACAAGTAATTAAGAGGGTTTGGACCAGTGTCACCTAGCTGTTTTTCTCTACTCTCAAGCTGCTGTCAGTGCTACTCAACATGTTCTACATTGCAAAATCTCTGTTCTACTTCAAATCAGCTATTATAAGGCATACATCATATCACATGAAGTTCTTGTCCTCAGTTCCTCTTTAGTTTATCCATATATGTTTGGAGGAAAAAGTACTTTGCCTGTGAGGGCCGAGATGGAAACAGAAAAGCTTATAAGGTAACCAGCTGGGAGAGTAAGAATTAGGTAAGAGTTATGAAGTGGAGGTATCTGGGAAAACAATTATAGTGATGATTGATGAAAATGTCATTAGGCGAGGACTGGTGTCCCCAGTGAAGAGATCAGTTCAGGTGAAAAACTATACTTTGCTGCAAGTGTTTCCATTATAACAGTTCTTCAATACATAGGGGCTACAGACAAAACTAGCTCAACAGAGAAAAGTATGTGCTTTTCTGGCCACTGCTCTCACTTTCACTGTATGACTCCCAATAATTACAACATAACGTGATTACAGGAGGTGAACAGAAAGGTCCATCCCCAAATCCTCTACAAATTCCAGAACATATTGTGGTGCAACTCTCTCTCTCATATAGTGATGATGCAATTACATTACTAAAAATATGAAAATGTTTCATTTTTTCCTATTGGTCTTCTTTTATGGGTCTGCTAAGACAGAAAGAAACATGCTGAGTTCCATGCATAATTTTGGTTTCTGTTAAAGAACACAGCCTAAATATTCCTCAATATAGTGAAATGAGAAGTCGTAACTCATAGGAACCATTCAGATTACAGCCACATGAAAAAGTCACTCACCTATAACCAAGTCCCTTGCCGAAAGCAGCAAAATTGGATTAGTGAAAGCCATTCCATAGAGTCGGAACTTTGCAGTAAAAGTGCTCTTGCTCCCATAGTCCAACAGCCAAATGAGACTGCAGCATATACAGAAGTAAACAGGCCGGCTATATGCTATGATTCGATTATGACCCTGAAACAGAAGTTTGGGTTCTGCTAGTTAGGTTAGAAATCATGTTCTAAAATGTCCTTATGCACAAAAAGTTCAATGTCTTAAGTTGTGCAAATTTAGGATTACTAGAGCATGATGATATGACAGGGCAAATATTCATTTTCACATCTCATTAGGCACGCAACATTATCTCATCCAATATCAGCACAACAGGAAAAACAATGTAACCCAGATCTACTATTCAGGTTTTATATAATCTGAGTAGAACACATCAGAAAGGCAGTGTGCAAGCTCCACACCTACTATCACTGCTTATCTTATCAGGCACTTGGACCATATATTAGAATAGTATATAGTACAGAAAGAAGAGGAAAAAGTCTTCTCTGTCCAAGGAGGCTCGCCACGTGAACCAGAAGAATTATTTTGTGAAGTTGTTTGGAGAGTCTCTTGTCTTTAGATGATAGCTCTTCACCTAAGAAAGGTGAATGGCAGAAGGGAAATGGGAATCTTCTCCATGTATGTTTATTGTATGACCATTACTCCAATTAAGAAAGATTCAAGAATAATGTACTTCTACTTCTGACACGTCAACTTTATTTTGCTATTACATCAACATTTTAAGTTGGTGCAGTTGGTATAATACAAGCTGCATAAGTTCATTTAAAAGTATATGCATTCCTGTTGGGATATAATATTACAGAATGTTTTCAGCTGAAGCTGTCATTTCTTTTTCTCTTTAATGGCAAATCTGAAACAAAAACAGTTTATAATAGCAGCAACTCCAGACTTGCTAGGACATTGATTTTCTGGATTGACTTACATGGCGAGGTGATGAAGAATCTGGTTGGACACTCTGAAAAAGACAAAAAAGAGAAAGAGACCCACATTATGTAACTTCCAATGTATCTGGGAAAAAATGGTCTCATATTTTATTTATTCTATTACGATATTATTACATAAGCAGAGAGTTGCTTTCAATGTGCAGAAAAAAAAAGAATGATAGAGAAAATCCTGGAACATTTTCCAGTGCAGCATAAGAATCTTGAGTAGAAAGTGAAAATTAAAAATAACTAGCAGAACCAAAAAGGAGTACAATAATCAGACTCATTACAAACAGTTTAGGCACTTGGACCATATTTGTCTTAATGGCTCAGCTTGTGTCATGTGAGAGACTGGCATATGTGAGAACAGAAGAGATTAAAGTTGGGTGGAGTTGCTTGAATCTGAGTGTGCGGCTGCTACATTGGTTGCATTCTCAGCTGATCTGGTCTGTGTTTCCTTCACAAAGAAGTAACTGGCTAAAAGTGATATACATGTTTTGGGATAAGGCTATATTTTTGAAATTAAATGTCTTCCCATCCACCCTGATGCCCCAATGGACCCCGAGTAATCCTTTCATTGCCAGGAACACATGTGAGTGAAGAGTTGAGAGGAAGAACTCTCTAAACACCAAAAATTGCCAATGGCTGTAAAGTTATCCTGGTGGTGATGGTTTTCAGTAATTAAATACTTCCCCTCCTGTCTCTTGACCCTCATGGATTCCTGATGATGGAAGATTTGGGGTCCTCAGCGTATTTTTAACAGAAAGAGAAAATTTTTAATTTCCAAAAATTGCCCTGGCAGCAGAACTTACACCAACAGGATTTCAGCCACTGTGTCCCTCTTAAAATGTAACCTTGTTATGTCCTCATTACAAAAAAGCAGAGCAAAGTTATATTATTACAATTAATGACCCAACTTGTGAGACATTACTTCCAAGTCCTTACAACCTTGATTGTGAATTTTAGTTAATTGCATGATTACAGTATCTATTCTGTATACATTCTCTGAAGCTAGGAAAAAATCTAACTGCAGAATTAATAACTTTTCTGCTTGATAGTGGTCTTTTGTACTCAAGAAAATACGGCAATAGAGACCTTTAAAACTCTCCTGGATCAATGAAGATCAAATAGCTCTAGCTGTATCTTGCTCTGTATAATAAACAACTCACTCCACTTCTATAACACTATCCCTGTGATATCTGAACTAGGAAATCTTTGGTTTGTTTAAACTGTGATTAATGCAAATAAATATCAGACAGTGTTCTGGATCCTCCATTTTCCCTGATGAATAGCTTAAAATTCCACAGGGAGCTTGAACAGTATATGAAAAGTAGGCTTTTAATTGAAATAATATCAACGGTGGGTCTTGATGACAATTTTTAGAGTATCTATTTTAATTGTATTTTAATTGTTGTAAGCCACCCAGAGATCTTTGGGTAGAGTGGGCGGCATATAAGTCAAACAAACAAACAAACAAATATGCTTAGCATTTTTAAAGTAAATACTTTCAGTCTCTACCTCTGGCAGATAAATAGTATCTGAAGCTTGGGCAGGTTCAATGGATTCAGGTATTCAGGAACCATGACTTCCCATTACATCTGAACTAGCATAGTACAGTGTAGTATTTAAGGTAAAATACTATACCTATTATTATACAACAGAAAAAGCTATGGAACATGGAACACAGGCAATTTGAAAACAAGTGGCATGAGGAGTCCGTTCAGCAAAAAAGACACAACAATGCATTAAAATTTAAAATTAATTTACAGTGAGGACAGACCTTTAGCAAGGAATACTGGCAGCTCGCAATCACTAGGCAAAATTGGAAGACCCAGATATCCTTGAAGAAGCCTTCTATAAGGAGCACAGAACCCAAGAAAGCTACTTGAATAGCTAAGATGACAGCCAATACATTTTCCAGGATCTCACGATTCCTATGGGGAAAGAAAAGTATGTAGACTATATTTACACTACAAAGGATGCAGGAATGCAAAAAAGCAAAGCAGCAAAATAAGGCAGAATCTTGCCTTTGGTACACACATTATGAGATGATTTTTTGGTTGCTTTTAAAAGTAAGTTATGGATGGGATCAATGATTGTTTCAATCAAGTTCAAAGTGCTCAACATATTCTGTACAATCAGTCGGACAGAATCAAAATGTCATCCAGTCCAGATCCAAACCACAAGACAGGGACATCTAGCCACCTCCAGTCCCTCCCACCAACTTATAGTTACGCTGCAAGAAGAGAAAATACACTTTTGTAGAGACAGAAACTTTGGGCAGTTAAGCAAGTAAGCAAGCACAACTAGTTCAGAAAGCGTATCCAAAGCCACAGAAAGTGACATTTCCTTGCACAAGACTGTGAGATGCTTTTTTTGCACTTCTTGGATTCTCCTAAGCATGACAATATTCCACCCCGCCCCCCTCATATTGCTACTTTTACCCAAGTTTGCTATGTGGGAAAATAATAATTAGCACAAACGTATGTTTGTTACTACACTGACATTAGTCACTAACGCATGAACAAAGTGATGGAAAACTAATACTTGAACTATGGATCTCACCTGTCAAACAGAGCCAAGAGAGTCAGCCTATCAAAATTGATACCAATCCAGATCTTGGGTAAAATCCAAAAGCGGTAATAGTGTTTGACTTTTTGGGCTGCTTCTTCTTGAGGCTGCAGATGGTCCTGTAGGTCAGGGCTTAAGTCAATGTCTTGATGCTCCAAGAGATCTGTATCTATGGTCAACAGCCTGTTCAGCCTAATCTGAGGAAGGGAAAGCTACAATAAAGTCAATAATAAGTTGTTTACATACTTCATTGCTTCAGTCTAAAGAATACAGCTCTGAAAAAATTCATCAAGTCATGAGACAAAGTATACTATGAAGAACAACCTCTTTTGGTCTCCCATCCACTTTAACCAGACTATGAGCACAGGGTAGATGGGACCTGAGACATACTGCAGGTAATCTCACTGTAGGCAGGGATAACTGAATAGCAGCTCATTGAAAATGGCACATTCATCAGCTGTCTGGGTGCACTCCATTGTCCACTATGCATCCCCTCTACAACATCAAATACTTCAGAATATTTCAGTTGATGAGGTGAGCATCCAGAAATTATGTGACAGCCTTTAAAGTTCTTTGTTTGAATAATGTCCAAAGTTTATTCCATTTATTAATGTCCATAATGTCCAAAGTTTATTCCATTTATTAAAACACAGCTTGGAGAGCATTCCCATAATTCTGTATGGATAGTATTATTGCACTCACCATGTAAACACATTTTAGGCCACACCTGTATTAGAATAGCTGTGATGCTGTAATTAGTAGCTGCTGTAAAAACACGATGTTGTATAGCTGATGGCTACCAAGTCCGGCATCCATTTGATAGATATAAATAAGCATACTGAGCAAAATTCAACATAATGCAAGCAGACTTCCATGAATGCAATGGGCTTCTTTCTAACACCCCTCCCCCTGCAGACCTTCATCCTACCCCACAATCTGCTCTGGAAGATTTCTCAGCCATCTGCAGGTTGAGGGCATACAGAAGACTGCATGGGGCCATTCCTCTTCTACTGCCGGAAGCCAATTTATTAGAAGAATAAACCAACTGGATAAAGTCCACTAACTCAACAACATAAAATGTTATTTGACTACATGGTTGCAAATGAAAAGGAACAAATGCAAAAACTTACTAAATCATGTGGATAAAATCGAACTGAGGTAGAACTTGATACATGAGAATCTGTGTCACTATAACAAGAAGAAGATGAGTTCAGTTTGACATCTTATTCTGCATTCCAGTCAAGCTACATCTTTAGCAGTTTTTGTATTTTCTTGGATATTTATTCTCACAATTTAAATAATGTTGCTACAGGAAAGACAGTACTGTTTTAACTCAAAGTGTGAAGGAGAAACACACAATTGTGTGAATCACCTTTCAGATAGGTAAGACGATATACCCTATCACATTAACTCAGACTCTGTTAAACTAATCTCAGGGTGGGAAGTAATAATTAAATAATCTATCAAGGACTAAGCAGTCATTTCAAGAGTTTGTATACAATTAGGCAATGTGAGGTTTAGCAAGCTTCAGAAGCTACAACCAAGCTCAACCTCCTTTCTGAAATGTCAAATATCTGATCTTGTCTAAAAACCATGCTGGTGCTGGACACAACTCTGATATGAATGCAACTTTCTCTGTTGCTTTCTCCATATTTATGTATCCCAAGCATGAAGCCTATATTCTTGTTTATCTTCAATAAGATTCTGACCTAAAGTCTCAAACAATCCTTGAATGGAGAGACAATTCAAAACTACAAACAGACAGACAGACACAGAATATCAGTTTTGAAAATACTGTATGTTATAATGTTCCTTTTATTTTTTTTTTATTTTTTTTGGTCTTGAGAAGATTTATGTTTTCCAATAAAAAGCAATATGGGAAAAGCTCCATGAAGCAAGTTAACACCCCCAAATGTTACATCCAATGAGTTCAAACTGTGCATAGTTTTGGAAACACCAATTCCAACTGGTCCATTTTGGGTGTTTCATTCCTTTTCCTATAATCCTATCTGTTAGGTCTTGTCTCTAACTTAATTTTGTAAGAAAGTGGATTCTATCTATCTGCTATACTCTGAAATCATCACATTTAAGTTCTAGGTCTCTTAAATTAGGAAACATTGCTGAGAGCAGGCTGTCATCCTTGACCAGGTTAGCTCTCATGTTCGCAAGCCATCCTGGAAAAGATAATTTATATCCCAGAAGTAAGAGAACATTGTTATCTGGAGAATGGGTTTCTTTATTTTTTATATCCATTCTCGTGATATCTGGATTAGGCATCATGTGGTTAGGCTAAATTCAGGCACTATTTGGCTTATTTCGTGTCTGAAAAGTATTCAAATAAAAGGACTTGTTATTTTGTACATTTCTACAACTCTACTAGGCACTGCTACCTGAGCCAAGCAACAACAGAAAAGGGTTTTCTCTTTCAGTATTATTTGGCTATACACCTTTTATATCCAATTTTTCTGAAAAAATGTATTTATTTTAAAAAGAGTGTTCTACCTCAATTTTATGGAGGCATCCACCTCAAGGCAAGACATGTGATACATGAAAATCATTAATATGATTTCTAGGTTTTTAAGAGTTAACAGAAAGTGTAAAGTCATGTGAGCATCGGGAAATTAGATCTGAGCTGCAATGTGGGGAAGGAGTAAGTATAACCTGTTCCCACTTTCTCAAACAAAGTTGTACTCACAAAACTGCTATTTACTCCAAATATTATTCACAGTCAGCTCACATATACACTGGCAGTTACTACTAATGTTTCAATTTAAAAATCGTGGGGGGGTATCTTGCATCATGGGTAGCTTGCACGAAGGTTGCTAGATTATTTGTTTGTTTGTTTGTTTAAAGGCTTCCTGCTTAAATTAACAAAAACAGCCCAGGGCCTTAGGTAAACCAAATAGGAAGCCTAAGAACTTATTTGTGTAAAGAAAGGTTAGTTCCCATAATGGAACTCTGTGACTTTACACTTTGGCGAGGATTCATGGACAGGCTTAAGATGTTCCTTATTTTTAAAAATACAGCCAGCTAGCTTATTAAAATATTGTACACTATTCAACATGCCATTTTGCCCTATGCAAAGGGAGGTATAGTTTAAAAGTATTTAGAAACAAGGACAAAAACATTCATATAAACATATTTGCCATTTGACAAACAGGAAAAGCAAGCATCTAAAAATTGAATACTGTGGTATACTAAAAGGAAGGCTTTTTTTAAAAAAAAGTACAGGAATGGTACAAGAATAATACAGAAACAATGTTTGGATGCTCTTCGTTCACTCTATGTATCAATAAAAAAAAGTTCGGAAACCAGAAATCTCTTTTTACAGATTCAATGACTCTTCAAGCATGGGGGCTAATAATACGAGGAGAAAAATATTGGCCTACTTTTGAAGACTGTTCTAATGATGAATGTACACAGGCTTTTGAACAAATGAAATGCACTCTTTAAACATGAGGATGAGGTTAATTCTTGAACCACTCATTCAGTCAGGAACAAACTTCAGTTTCAGTACATAAAAAATTATTACTTAACAAAATATGAAAAAGGCCAGCCACAATTTATGCTCTAGGTTGTCATAATACATAAGGCACTTAGTTGAAGTGAAAATCAACATTGCTGCATGCATTATACCAACTGGATTTTAAAACATACCAGATATTAGATGTTCTTCTTGCAGCTGGCTCAAAATTTACAAGCGACATGTCACAGCCCCCTGTCTCGTAGAGTGTAGAACTGAACTTACCTATTAAAGAAAACGTCAAGAAAAATTAAATATTATCAGGTATTTCTAAGCTGTAGAAACAAGCACATGTATTGATTTCTTTTGCACAGTGCTTATTAGAGTATATGCTTATTAGAGTATATGATTTAGAGATACATATAAAGTTCATAAACCAAGCAGAGAATCTTCTGGAACCAATGGCTAAATTGATCATTTAAAAAAGAATACAGATTAAGATACACAGATAAACAGTTACTCATGAAATTGTGCAACACCGTTTTCATTAAGATCCCCCTATTTCTTTCTTCAGGCAGATGTTCATGACTACAGTGATATCTGTGGTATATTTCTTTTGACTACTGCACTGTCTTTGACTTACAAAGTACAGTATTAGAACATCTTACCTGTAGAATAAAGCTAGAGTTCAAGCTCATTTATATCTAACTAACAAAGAAAATACATGGAGAGGAATTATTCAGTTAAGAATTGTGATGAGAGTGCATAATGCTAAAACTTGGGGTTGTCCAAATGTAAATGATTGATGAAGAGCTTGGAAATAATATGTTCACATTAATGCTAAATACATTACTTTTTTGAACCAACACAAGAAAAAGGGCCTTAAAACCTAACATTCAGAAAAAAAAACGTCTGAGCAGCAGTGTTAATGGGAATTTTAATGTTACTTTGGGTATGAAGTCTCCAGAGAGCATAAGTGAATTCACAGAAGAAAAAAACTTTTTTCCCCGGTTCTGCTTTTTTGCATAAGTAAATCACTGTCATATTTTCTATACATATTTTCTAACTAATTTTAGTTATATATTTCTTATAGTGGGGACTGGGGAACATCTGATTTGTTAATTGTTAGGTTGCCAAGGAATCTGACTGCTTCATGGCCTTCTATTCTGACAAAGGTAGATGAGAGGGTGGAGGAGATGCATATCTGGACAATGACTGAAGGAGGAGGAATCACATGGCTAGTTTCTGCATGCATAAGTCTGCCACATGGATTGTTTTTGGTGGGTGGACAGGAATGATGAGTCAAGAGAGACAGCCAAAATTCTAAACATTAGGACTCCAATATATTTTATTTCCCAGCAAGAAGCCCTGAGAAACATTATATACGCTTAGCTTTTTAGTTGAGGTTTCTACCTCAGTTACAACCCAAATTAACTTACAGAGCCTAGGGTGGGCTACTCAGCATAAATATAATTTTACATAGGAGGTATAGACCCAGGAATTGGATTTATATCAAGTCAATTAAATCATGATTTAAATCACTAGTCAATAAGACTCAATTTAAATATAAATTTTAAATGTAAAGGCTCATTCTTGCTGGTAGTTATAATCTTTAACATTTGCAACCAGATGAATATTACACATTTAGAGTAATAACCTGTCAGATCAGTAAAACAGCTATATAAGCACTGATTTTAGTTTAGTAGGTTAATCACTTGTATTTGGAGACCTACTTAACTTGTTTTATTTAACTAAAACAATAACACTGTATAGCATATTCTTGTATTTGCTTAAATATCACTGTTTATTAACTGAAGTGATTAAACAAAATATATTTTTAAAAAGCAAACTATTTTCCAAAAAATCTTCAAACCTAGCATTTAAGCTATAGTAGGCATCCCCCTATCCACAGAATCAGAATCTACTGATTCGCTTACATGCTACCTGTCCTCGCTGAACGGGTAAGTAACGAAGGTATTGGAACGGGTAAGTAACAAAGGTATTGGAACGCATTAAACGAAGTTTAATGCGTTCCAATACCTTTCCCCTACCCGTTTAGCGATGATTCCGTATAGCGAGGGTTAATCCGGAACGGATTAACCTCGCTATACGGGGCACCACTGTATGTATTTATATGTATTACCAGAACTGGCCACTAGAGGGATCAAGAAACACCCAATAATATTCTTGTCAATATATTAATACAGTGGTGCCTCACAAGACGATGTTAATTCGTTCCGCTGTTAAGCGAAAACATTGTCTTGCAAAACACGTTTTCCCATTGAAATGCATTGAAAACCTGATAATCCATTCCAATGGGAACAGATTGTCATTGTAAAGTGAAGATTGCCATAGGAAACATTGTTAAGCGAAACGCGGTTCTCAAGCGAAGACAGTCTAACAAAACAAAGACCATTAAAAGACTCATATAGCAAAGCTAGACCAAGCTGTCAAAAACATCATAAAGCGAAAAACAAGGACCCTAAATTTATCTGTCCTGCGAGGCAAGGTCCCTAACATCGTAAAGCCAAAATCGCCCATAGGAAACATCGTTAAACAAAGCACAAGATCGCTCCGAAAACCTCATCATAAAGTGAATTCCTCATCATGCGAAGCAATCGTCTTGCGAGGCACCACTGTAATGCTAATTTAACAAGTTAAAATGTTTAAAAACCATCTCGTTTTAACTAATTAATTTTTAAGTCTAACAATTCAAGCTCTGGCTTGCTAATATGGTTGGAACTGACATATGTACTTCTCAAATTATTATGTGGATTAGACCAAACACACACCAATCCTCTCAATTGCTTATAGTGAAGGTAAAGGTTCTTCTTGACATTTTCAGTCCAGTCGTGTCCGACTTTAGGGGGTGGTGCTCATCCCGCTTTCCAAGCCATAGAGCCAGCGCTTGTCCGAAGACAGTTTTCCATTGTCACGTGGCCAGCGTGACTAGGGAATGCCGTTTTACCTTCCCACTGAGATTGTACCTATTTATCTACTCGCATTTACATGCTTTTGAACTGCTAGGTTGGCAAGGAGCTCTTAAATTGAGAATAGTGGGTTTAAATACCCATGTTTTTCTCCCTAAATACTAAAACATATATTTTTGGATTGTAACAACTCCATTTAATGAATCAAGTTTAACACAGTAATTTCTGTGACTCACTGATATCAAGCCTTGTACTGACTATTTCATTTAGCAAGTACAGGTTATGTACTTGCTTAAACACAAGCCTTTTAAATGCCCTGTTCCTACATTGAAAGAAAATCATATCCACATCAACAGACAGAAAAGCTTTTGTGAATGGGAACAGCCAATTGTTTTACTTTCCTCTTAGGCCCTCAATGTGCTACAACCCCTAATGTATTTATGGTCTAGCAATACAGTAACCTTTGTTGAGCATATCTGCATACCAGCACAGATGTTACCTTTTCTTTTGAGTGGGTAGTATCAATTCAACACTAGAATACTCCTCAAAAGTTTCAGCATTGAGTATATGCCACAAAATAGTAAAAAGAATGCTTTACTATTTAATCTGTCACTTGCCCAATTTTGGGAGCAAAAACATCTGCAAATACATGATGGCTGAAATCTTGTTGCATAATTTAGTAAGACACACAGCAGTGTTGTTGCTTAGTCGCTAAGTCGTGTCCAACACTTCGTGACCCCATGGACCAGAGCACGCCAGGCCCTCCTGTCTTCCACTGCCTCCCGGAGTTGGGTCAAATTCATGTTGGTAGCCTTGTTGACACTGCCCAACCATTTTGTCCCCTAATGTCCTTTTCCCCTCTTGCCTTCACATTTTCCCAACACACAACAGTAGGCCCACAGAATCCATGGAGATTTGGTGAGTCAATTCATTCATATGTTCCATTGATTCAAATGGGCCTACTCTAGTTGTGACTTTACTTAGCATAAGTAATTCAATCAATGGAACCTATGGAGGAGCTGACTCATCAAATCCTCACTGATGCAATAGGCCTACTCTAGAGCGTGGTACTATGCTAAGGAACAGGATTTCAATCGCTGCTTCACAGACAGATATCCTCTTCAAGTGTTCATTGTCAAGTTAGAGGCTACAAAACATATATACTATATCATGACAACCAGCTCTTATATTATTACTCCTAAAAACTTGATATGGATTGTTCCTTCAATAACCCATATCAGATTACAGGGGAGGATGGTTCTCAGCTATTTGACAATGTATATCTAATAACAAATTCCACAATAGACAAATTATTGTAACAATAATCACTAATAGCAGCATAAACATAAGATCCTGTTAATTGTTGTCAGTAAATGTTGCAGGTAATGTGCATAATTTTGAGAGATGTGTGCTACATTAACAATATTCACCATTCTATTTCCAACTATCCTCTATAACAGGGGTGGGCAATACTATGGGGGGGCCACATTAAAAATCTGAACTGTGTTCGGGGGCCGAACCAGGTTTACCTAAAAATAAAATGAAACAGCTATGTTATGATTGTTTTTATTTTAAACTTGTTAATCTTCACAAATACTAAAGAGGTTTTTTGCTGTATGTTAAAAATAAGCAACTGATCAACTTTAGAGAAAAAGCTATAAATGGTTTTGATGTTCAAAACTGTCCGCGGGCTGGACAGGAGTGGCTCGCGCGGGCTGTATGTGGCCCTCGGGCCGCACTTTGCCCAGGTCTGCTCTATAACAGATGTTTAGACAGTCGATTTGTAGACATTGTACTGGTTTGTTTAGAAGTTTTAAGCTGAAGTCTCCAGTTAAGGCTCTGTGTTCTCAGAGTCTGTACAATGATTAATTTTTTGTACTTGCCCCCTCACATTTCATAAATATTTTAATATATCTTTTCATGTGACAACACTGAAGAAGTGATGCTTGGCTACAATGTAAAGCAGTGAGCATACGTGCTGTCCCCTCAAAATAACACAACACACAACCATTAATGTCTAAACCGCTGGCAACAGAAATGAGTACCCCCCTAAACGCACACACAACCATTAATGTCTAAACCGCTAGAAATGAGTACCCCCCCCCCTAAAAGACAATGTCCAAATTGGGCCCAAGTAGCTCATTTCCCTCCCTGGTGTCATGAGACCCGATAGTGTCACAAGTCTCAGGTGTGAAGGGGGAGCAGGTGTTCTCACTCTCTCAGACTGGTCACTGGAAGTTCCACATGGCACCTCATGGTAATGAACTATCTGAGGATCTGAAAAAAGAAATTGTTGTTCTACATAAAGATGGCCTAGGCTATAAGATGATTGCCAAAAGCCTGAAACTGAGCTGC